TACGATATGATGCAAATATACTATCAATATTAAGTGCCACGGGGTTTCAGGTGTGTGCCTTTTGAAATATTTTGTTGTGACGGTAGAAGTGGTGACAATGATGATGTGGGCTGTTTTATCATGTCTTTCTTGGTGCAGATACACTCTTGTTTCTCTGGGTTGTGCAGTTTTCTTGATAAAGGTACCGAATCATTTTTTTTTCATGGTGCCACTCGATACGATGAGGACCGAAGTGGCCGGTGATGATGCCGCGCAGCCCAGTGACTTGCGGGGTTTTGCGCGTGCAATGTGCGAGGAGGCGTGCAGCATACAGACACTTTTGCATGAGTACACCGAGAAGACGAGAACACTCGGGAGAGAGGTGGGAGGCTTCATGCAGCGTGACAGTGCTGAAGAGGACGCGCTGCAGAAAATCGTACTGGATGTTGCGCGTGCGGAGATGAGTGCATTGCGCGACGTGCGTTATATGGAGTTCTCACACCGTCGAGGAGAAATGGGCTCTGCACGAGACACGGGAGGTGCGGATACTTGCTCATCGTCGACTCGCCGTGGGTGTGGTGGGTGTGTGGCTGGCTGCGTTGCTTCGTTGTGCGACGGCAGGCCGGATGCATTCTTTGAGCTTTTTGAGTATGGCGACGTGGGCGATGTGCTGTTGGGGTGGCGCTCGGCCACGCGGAATGCGCGAGTGCAGTTTGATGCGCTTTGCGCATCGGTTATCGACAGCGTGCCTGATATTTCGTCGTGTGTGTTGCTGGTGAATGGGATCTTGTACACGCCTTGCGATGCATTTGATGCCTGTGAGCTGACGGAGCGGGAGCTGGAAACGATATTGGGTGGCGACGGTGGTGTCGTTGCGGAGGAGGCGCTGGTGCGCTGGCAGGACGCTGTTGTGATGCGTTCTCTGCTCACCTGCGACCGCCTGCGTGGTGTGTGGAACGCTGCTGGCGGTTCGGAGGGGAGTGGACTGTGCCTGATGGGTGATGGCCATGATACATTGGCGCTTGTTGATCACACCCGCCTGCTGCGCTCCGCTGTGTTCCGTGGGTTCTTCTTTTCTGGGGAGCTGCGGGCGGTGGAGTCTGTCGGAGCGCAAGCTAACGTGCTGGCGACTATATTGGGCGCAAGCGATGGCGATTCCCAAGAGGAGATGGAGCGATGCGTTGTAGATGTTTTTACTGGGTTGCAGAGACAGGAGGGTCATCCACTTTCTGGATGCAAGAATGCTGTGGTAATGCTTGCTGTGCAGGGCGATGTGCCTGCTGCTGCCCCCGCGGCTTGCGGTAGGCCATTGGTGCGATTTGTGGTGCTTGACATTCGCCCACTTGCGCCCAACCTTCCCTTTGCGTGGCATTTCACGTGGGCTGAGGTGTGTGCACTGGGGCAGCTTGACGCGAGGACCGGCGCTGGACACCTGCCGACACCCCTTCCCGTTTTCAAAATGACCCGTGTTGCTGTGGCCGCCCTGGAACCGTATGATACTCTCTCCCGCCGACTGTTCCCTGTGCTTAATGGGTACCTGCGCGGGATCCACCGGCGTCGTCGGGATGCTGTGGCCTCCCCCATGAAGCTTTCTGCTGCATTCTCTGTTGTCTCTATTGTTTTTGTTTCTGCTGTTGTTGTCGTTGTTTCTGTTGTGAGTGCTGGGCTTTTAAGAGGAAGACCCTTTCATAGATCTTTTCGCGTGTGAGCTCTTTGGGTGGGGTGGGGTGAGGTGACGTGGCGTCGAGTATCCGGGCCAGCTCGTGCCCTTCGGTTTGGCGATGTGTAAATAATGTGTGGTGGGCCAATTGTGGGCCTTGAGGGGATGCTGTGGGGGTGTCGTCTTGTGCTGCGCAACGAGTGGTGCGCCCACTGGGCTCTGATGAGCCTCGATGCGTGATGTCTTTTTTCGTTTTTATTTGACGACTCCTGCACACAGGAAAGAGGAAAAGAATAAATTTACAATGGATAAGGCTGGATTCTGCGGGAAATATCACCTGGAACGCTTCGACGATACACCGTGCTCAGCGAAGGTGGCTCTCGCCCTGCGGGCGGAGAGTGAGGGCATTGAGGTCGTCGCCAAGGTTGCGAACACCCTACAAGGTCAGATGAAGTTCGATGCTGGCAAGCTGAGTGGACTCCTTGTGTCGACTATGATGATGGGGAGCGAGGAAGAGATGAAGCTTGAGGCTGCTCTGACGACTGGATTCGAGGGTGGCTTTAACGTGACCTGGGCTGCCGACACGCTGACGCTTGCGGGAGAGCAAAACACCTTCGTATTCGAGCGCGATTTGTCTCTGGAGAGGCTGATCGGCGAGTACACCCTACACACGTTCAATGGGGAATCTGTTTCCATGGACAATGCGGGGCTTGTTGTTGCTGAGGGCAGCGAAGGGTGCGTGACTGTGGTTGCCCAGTTCACGAATTCTCTCCGAGGCGAGCTGAAGCTGGAGGACGGCGTGCTACAGGGCGCTGTCGCATCGACGGCTGAGGAGGCTGAGGGCGTGACGACGATGGAGGAGAGGTTTGAGGCGGGGATGGGACGTGGTGTGAAGGTGACCGTGGAAGGGAAGTGCCTTACCTTGAAGGATGACGACAGCACTTTTGTGTACCTGCGTCTGCTGCTGCCGAGCGATCTGGCCGGTGAGTATGTGCTTCAGAGCCTCAACGGCGCGACTGTGGAGGGGGATGAGCAGATAACGCTCGCCCTCTGCCAGGACGAAAATAAGGGCGAGGTGAGTGTTTTTGCGAAGGTGTCGAACACCCTGCGCGGGAAGGCGGAGCTTGTGAAGGACGTGCTGCGCGGCCCCCTGATTTCAACGCGGATGATGGGGAGCGAAGCGGAGATGCTTGTGGAGGCCGCGCTGTCCAGTGGCTTTGATGCTGGGTTCCTCTGCAGCGCCGAGGCGGGGCAGCTGACGCTGCGGTGCGGCGACAACACCCTCGTGTACACGAAGGTTCCTGTTGTGCCGTACGAGAACGGCAAGCCGACGTACTTGGGAGAGAGCGTGTCACCGTGCTTCAAGGGTCACGGCAACGGCCTGTTGTTCCGCATCATCAACACGGCGGAGGGGAAGTGGGCGTTCTACAACGACACGCAAAAGTACAGGATGCGCGTCGTTGTGACATTCGGCTCCCGCTCGAAGCTGGAGGGCCTCGGAAGCACCGGTGTGACCGTAAACGAGGACGGCCGGCACGTGGCTGATGTGACTGTGGAGCCGGGCATGACGGAGATGTTCGTTGCGGGGCACGTGAACGGGTACTCATGCTCCTACGACGCGCTGCCCCTCTAGACCTTCGTGGGGTGCGAATGGGGTGTGGTGTGTAAAGAGAGCCCATGGCTCACAAGCTGCTGGTTTTGAATCAAAATGTTCGACCGGCGATATTTTTTCTTTTCTTTCTGTGAAAGGGGTTGGGCTACGCGCGGCGCGCGTTTACTTATGTATCCTGTTTTAAAATGGAGTTGATAATTGAGGAGTGAGTCGATATTATTAACAGCCCTGATGATCGTCCGATTGTTTGATAGCCTGCCCTTCCGTTTGCCCTCATTATGCGCTTATCCTCCCTTCGCATCTAAATATGGCATGAGAACACTCAAGTTATATAAAGCCTTACACAACAACATGACGGACGCCGTGAAATCTTTCGTTGGCACGTACACACTGAGCAAGTTCAACGGAAAGGATCCCGAGCAGGGCGAAGCGAAGATCCCATCGTTGAAACTTGAGATGGATGGAGACAAGCTGAAGGTTCACGCGAAAGTGGCCAATGCGATGAACGGTGACCTTAAGTATGAAAACGGCAAACTTTCTGGAATGCTGATGTCGACAAGGATGATGGGACCGCCCTTCCTTATGGATGTGGAGCGTGCCCTTGCCGCAGGTTTTCAAGCGGGGATGTCTGTGTCACGCGAAGGGGACGCTTTGATCCTCTGCCACGACAAGGATACCCTGCACTTCGTTGTTGACAGGAGTGCATAGCTACACCACTGAACTGTTTGTAGCCGCGTTTGTGGTGCTTTGCTTCGTGTGTTCTGCCTGCGTATACGCTGTTTAGCTGTTAGTTCAACTTGTTGTGTTGTGGTGCTTTGTACGGGTGGTTTTCTCGTTTACTGTGCTTGACTTTGTACCACATTTTTTTTTAGGTAGTATTGTATTTCAAACAGAGGCGTCGTGGTAGCGGTCTTTAAGTTCTTCTGTTTTGGCTTTGAGTTTGTGAAGTTTTGCGAAGGATGCCTCCCAAGAAGTCGGTGCAGCGGAGCGAGTTCCACCATGTTCGAATGCAGGAGCATTTGCGGGAGATGGATGGCCCGTCGCTGGTAGCCTCTTCTGGGGAGGAACAGCAGCAGCGGCTGCAAGGGGAACAAGAGGAGAAGCAGCAACATCAGAAGGGCCAGCAGTCTTATTTTGTACCAAGTCTGATTTCTTTATGTGCTGATGTGATTGCTGAAAATTTTGCCGATATCGCAGCTGCGGATAAACTGTGTGAGGAGGATCCGAAGCTGTACGATATGGTGATTGAGCGGCTGCGGACAGACTTGCCTTTGACGGTGAATGTGCCACGTGTGCGGAGCGACGCCTACTGGCGTCGCTGCTGTGAGGCCCGCTGGTCGTTTGGCCAGTTAAGTGAGCGGTCGTGTGGGAAGCTTGTGCCGCCGGAGCGTGAGGGGTGGAAGCAGTTTTACCTCGAGCGGGTGCTGAGCGACTACCTCACCGGGCTGCGTTCGCACGATCTCGTTGGCGAGGAGTCGCAGCAGCTCGATCGTCTTTGCATTGTCTCCAGGGAATACGTGTACGCGCTCCACCTCCCGTGCCAGACGACTCGTTTCGACCTCTACACGCAGCTGCTGTCGCGGCTGCCACATCTGGAGCATCTTCGCCTCACGTATGGCGCCAACAACGTGGGCACAAGCTTCGAGTGGGACATGATGGGCTTCAGCGAGAGCGATGCTGCCAATGTGCGTTACGCGCTGAATAAGTACCCACCCCTGCGCTCGCTTCGGTTGCCCAATAACCGCATTAACAGTTCGCTGGCGAAAGGAATCCTCAGTGGACTTGTTCTCAACACGACACTGAGGGTTCTCGACCTCTCCTCGAACCGCATCGACGACGATGGGGTGCGGCAGCTCGCACTGCTCTTGTGCAGGCCAGATCTCCCGCTGGAGGAGCTGTACCTGCACGACAATAAAATCCGTGGCGATGGGGCGGCGGCGCTCGGTGAGGCCTTGACAATGAACACGACGTTGCGCGTGCTGAATCTGCGCCTCAACCGCATCCCCGATGAGCCGGGTGGCGTCGCGCTCGTCACAGGCCTCGCGTCTCCCACCGCGCTCGAGGTGCTTGACCTCTCGCACAACGCGCTTGGCGACGCCACCGCCCAAGTCCTCGCTGAGGTGCTGCCAAAGCAGACCTCGCTGCTGTCGCTGAACATCTCTGGCAACAAAGCACTGGGGTTGAGCACTGGTGAGCTGCTGCTCCAGGCGGTGCGGGAGAACGCAACGCTGCGATTTTTAGATGCACGCAGCAGCGGCGTGGCGAAGGAGTGCGTGGCAGCGATGGAGGCCTGCGTGGAGAGTGGGGTGCAGGCGATGAAGTCACAGGAGGTGGCGGCGCAGGAGGAGGAGCAGCGGGGGAGGATACTGGAGTATGTAGAGACCAAGCTCGCCAAGACGTTGTGCGTGCTGTAGAGATTCTCGTGGTCTCTCTCACCCACTCTTTCCTTCCGTCTTCACCTCTGTCTGTTTCTCTGCCTGCCTGTGTGTTTGTGTGTGGGTCAGTGAGATGTATCTTTCTCATGCAGGGGCGTGGTGCCGTCCATGTACAACCGCTGCCGCTGAAAATGCTTTGGCGTGTGAATGAAGCAAGAAAGAAAACGGAAATGGAAAGGGCAACACGTCGTTGGACGTGTAATCCTCGGGTGCTACCAAATCTGCCATGCCACCAGTGTTCTTCTCAGTGTCTCTTTTGTACGTCTTTCTTTTTTTCTTTGTTCTTGTT